CACCAACACACGAGGAGACGCGCTCACGGTGGCTGCAGGTGCAGGTGCCGGCGGCGCGCGCCGCCTCATCGGGCAACGATAAAGGGGTGGTCGCAGCAGCAGCCGGCACCGCTGCGTCACCGCGGCTCAGCAGCGCGAATGCGAGTGCTCCGTCGCTCGTCGCACGGGACGCGCAGCACGCAGCGGTGGTTGCCGGGAGGCTCGCTTCAGCCGCTGTCAGCCTCCAGGCCACCATCGTGGCTTGGGACGTGGGGTGGCTGCGTCGACACCATATGCGCTCCTAGCCTCGCCACCGCAGCCAACTCCCTTCGCATCGGGGGCGGAAAGGTCGGCCAGCGCAACCGTGTTGAGAACAGTCGCCTCCTAGACCACCGACGCCGGCAGCGGCCTTGCACCCACTTCCGCGTCAGCCACCGAGCTGCTCCGCGACGCGAAACCCACCCGAGCCGCAGGGTGTGCGTTGACTTCGGGGAGGGACAACACGAGCAGCTCCGCCTCCCGCTCGGCACGGGCGTCGCACAGGTGCGAGCTCCGAACCAGCAGGGCAGCGCAGGTGCTTAAAGAACGTTGAAAGCAGACGACGTTGTTCGTACGAGGCGCGTGCGAGCTCCGTAACGCATTGCGGCCTGCGTGCAAAGAGGGGGCAGCAGTGGCGAGCAATGAAGGGCGGTCCGTCAGCGGGTGGTGGACCACCGTGGCGGTGTTCGTTGGCATCCGATCATGCATGTCTTCTTGCCACGGTGGATTGCCTCACCTGTGTGCGTGGTTGTGTGTGGCGATGCAGCGGCCGCCGTTCCGGTGCGGTCTCCGTGCCTTTTCACGGCGGTCGCGACAACGTTGGCGGGGCCGCATCGGTGAATGGCCGCAGACACGTCGGGGGCGACGGCGAGGCTAGGCAGCACTTACGAACAGTGCGGTGGCTTCCCACCCACCCAGGGACGGTGACGAGCGCGACACTGTCCCCGGAGGGTGCCCAACGCGGCACCGCCAAGCGCAACGGAGGCCACCTGAACAGGAGGAACGACGGCGGCCAGACATGAAGGAGTGGCCAAACGGCGAACACATCTTCAGCAGCTGAGAGAGAGAGGGGAAAAGATCCGGCGTGTTGGCGGGTTCGTCACCGTTGAATACAGAGAGAGATGAATGACCAATAGAAACCAAAAAAAAATAGAAGAGAGAGAGAGAGGAGGTGAATGAAGAAGGAGAGACATAACGAGCGTGGGAGCCACAACGATAATACTGGTAATAATAATACGGCAAAGGTGGCGGAGGAAATCGGGTTGCCACGGGGGACACGAGCCATCCGCAAAGCCACCGAGCCCCCACAGAGGACCCCCCATTAAGAACGGAAAAGACGCGGTACGAACAGCAGCCCGAGAAAAGAGAAAAAAGAAAACAAAAACGGAAGCGCGCTCGTCCGGTGCAAAAGAAGCGTACGGGACTGCACGCATACGGTGTCATTCTTTGTTGGCCGTGTCCTTCTGCTGTTGCGGTCCCAACGCCGAAGAAGAGGTTAGAACTGCGCAAGGTACGGAGAGCCGCGCTGGGCAGCTAAATAGCTCACTAAGCGACCGAAGAGGGAAAGAAAAAAAAATGGCTGCTGCAGTTTTTGTAGGGAGAGCAACGAGAAGCGGGGCGGGGGAGAAAAGGAAAGGGCCGCCACACCGCCGCTGCACCCCTGCGGGTGCTTCTTCGGTCGATCAAAAATGGACCCACCGCCGAACGGTCGATTCAACGTGTGAATGTGCCGGCGGGCGCCCCATTCCAAAGCATATATCCGCAAAAAAAGAAAAAGTACATGAAAAGAGTCTCTAATGGGCGTCTCTGTGTCCAGTGTGCCTTGCGAGGAGAGCAGAGTTTGTGGCGTCGCTCTTCGCCCGCGCGCAGCAACCGTGCAGTGGCGCACACGGGTACCGCCTATCATCGCACCTCTCTCTCTCTCTCTTTCTATCTAAAGGAGAGGGAGTAAAACAGAAGGGAACAGCTAGGAAGTTGTGTGCAGAGCAAGGCGAGACGGGGAAGGAGGGAGGGGCCATCGACGCCGTAACTCCTTCGCTCTCGCCGCCCGCACCACATCGACTCCGTTGCGCTTTACGCCGTGCGCGACACGCCAGAATGGGCAGGAGAGCCAAAGGTGAAAGAGTGCGGGGCGCCTCCTTTGTTGCCGGCGGTGTCGAGAGCGCTGTGCCTCTTTCCATCCTCGCTTCATTGCCGTCGCGCACTGCATCAGAGGTCGCCGCTGCCCTCAGTCGCCCTCCCCCTCGTCCACCACGATGACTCGCTTGACCGACACACCAAACTCAAAAGACGCGCCCCACGTCTCCGGGTGCACGCAGCCTCCCGACCTTGCGTCCTCCGCCCCGACGGCTGCATCGCATGCAAGCGCCTCGCGCGGCCGCCGCCCCGTCCGCAGCGGGAAAGCCAGCGCTGAACCCGCCGAGGCCGCAGCAGTAGCAGCAGCAGCGCACCGCCCATACCGTATCGTGTGCAGCTCAAACTCGAGTTCCACCGCCTCCGCTGCACCATCGTCCAACGCCAGCCCCTCCCGCGCATCCGCCCCCACCCACGCCCCACCACTCAAACGACTGAAGGCAACCCACGACACCGTGCTCGGACCCCGGCGCAGCGTCACGGAGGCCGGAGGGGCACCGCGCACAAGCCGCACCCCCGCCGTGCCCCCGGTCCATTCGGCACCCACTGGGTTCGTCGCGGTACGCGGTGCGGCGTCCAGCGAGGGGACGCCGCAGTGCAGCGTAAACGCACACAGGTCGCACTGCTCAATGAGGCTTTGCACGAGCCGCGTGAGGAGGTGCGGCAACACCCACGAGTGCGACGGCAGCAGGCGCCACACATAGCGCCGAGCAACGGGGTGGCACGGATCTGCCGCGGCGGTAACAGCGGTGCCTGCCGTGGCGGCATGTGCGGAGGCCTCCTCCGTGAAGCGACCCACCGGGCAGCACCGTCGCGCGCCGCGGAACGGCAGCGACGAGACGAGCACAAGCGAAAAGCCGCGCAGCGGAAGAGATGCACCGTGCAGCGCGTTGAGGGCGTCGTGAACGCAGGCGCCGACGCTGTCAGAAGCAGAAGAAGAGTCGGCGTTGCTGTCTTCAGTGAAGAGCACACCCGAAACCCCGTCTGCCCTCTCAGCCGCGCCGCCACCCACGGTTCTTCCGCCGGCCGTTGAAGTTTCGGAAAGCAGAGGAAGCTGCAGGACAGCGTCAAAAGCCGCCCAGACAGGATTGACCTCGGTGCGGGCCAGTGCGGCGGGCTCAACCATCAAGGCAGCTCCACCCAGCCACTCCAGCACCACGCCGCTCTCCGCACACACAGAGGTCAGGTGCTTCTGCGTAACGCGAGAGGAGCACAGCAGGCACACTAGCAGCCGCGATTCCTCGACGCACAGCAGCACGCTCAGGTCCTTCCACGCGGCGTGGCCCAGCAGACGCATGTAGAAACAGTGCTCTGTCGTGTGCGTTGTGGCCGGCGTGCGGGCACACGACGCGCGCACCCGTGTCAGCTGTCGAAGTCCGTCCTGCATTGCCGCCACATACGTGCCGTACGAAAGCTCCGCCGCAGAAGTCGAAGGTATCGAAGACGAAGGGGCAGCGCAGTCGTACGGGTTGGGATCCGTGCCAAGGTAGTACACCGCGCCGTGTGCTCGCACGCACTCGCTCAACAGACGCTCCACCCGCCCCAGGCGCAGCCGCGCAGCAGGCGGAGTGCAGTAGGGCAGTGCCGGCCGCGTCGTGGCACCCGCAAAAGCGCAGCTGTGCAGGCACACCTCCACGTGCACCTCGCAACGCGAGAGAACACCGTAGTACGGCGTCGCCGGAAACAAGCGTCGCGGCGGAGAACGCGAGGCCACAGAGCCTCCGCTTGCTGCACGCGGCGATGGCTGCCGGGCAGTGGCAGGGAGGGAGGGAGGGTCCGCCAGCCGAT